GTTTCATGTTATTTTTGCAGAATCACAGAAAACAAAATGCTGGCAGAGTTCCATGGGGGAAAGTAAGAATTTCAGCAGTTTCATCTAATTCCATTACATCATCATTTCCCAAACTTGCCAGTTGTCATACCATATTGCAAAATGTCACCAGGAACTTCACTATTTCATATATTATGGAGAAAAGAGAATTTTGTTGGGTGCCTGGAGAGACAGCAGAAGAGGAACTTGTACAAGAGAAGTGTCACATACAGTCATGTGTACACTTGCCTCCGACAAATTCTGATAGGTGCAGAGAAGATTTTGACAAAGTGTTTTCATTCATGATGTTTATTTTTTAAAAAGAACATAACTGCCAACTTGAGTTTGCATTATTGAGCTACCACATGTGTTTGGTATATTGTGTAGAATACAATACTCATAAAATAGACATTTCTTATGGATCTCAAGAGTAGGGCCTATCTGCCTGGAGCTCCCTACCACACACATACAGACACATACACACACGCACACACATATGCACACATCTTCCTTCACTGGTTCATCTCATATGAATGATGAACTGATCTCTGCCAGTTTCACCAGACTGGACAAGTGATTATAAGCCCAATGTGGGTGAAGAAGAGACTCCACAACTGAAGGTGTGGTGCCAACCTGTTTTGAAAAGAGGAGGAACAGTGAGAAATTAGCAAGCATAAGTTTTCAAAAAAACTATGTCTTTCTCTTCCTGTTCTAATCCCCAGGATGCTGAACACTAAACCATTACTTATATATGTAAGCAGTGAAGCCATGTAGGGGTTGAGTACACAGAATGCTTGGATATGACTCCTAATCCCAAAGGTTACTACCTATTACTATCTCACAGATTTCAGGTAAATTATTTAATTTCTTTTTGTCTCAGTTTCTTCATTGCTAAAAAGGAGGATAGTAATTATCATCGTCATCATTATCATCATCTCTCAGGAATAAATAAGATGCATAATAAATAAGTTATATGGGCAGTACCTTGTGTCTAGAACATAGTATGTACTATACAATTACTTGCTATTCTTGCTTCATAGTGTTTTTTTTAATGTTTATTTATTTTTGAGCAAGTGAGAGAGAACATGGGCAGGGGAAGAGCAGAGAGAGAGGGGAAGAGAGGATCTGAAGTGGGCTCTGTGCTGACCTCAGAGTGCCCTATGAGGGGCTTGAACCCACAAAATATGAGATCATGACCTGAGCCGAAGTTGGATGCTTAACCAACTGAGCCACTCAGGCGCCCCTCTTGCCTCATATGTTTAAACTGTTTTACTGGAAAAGGATAAACTTTTGAATTATAATCACCACCTTTTACAACTATACTTCATGCTAATCTGGGACTCCTTCCCCTTTCACTCACTATACCACCACTGTCAAGAGGGGAAAATGACACGGGGAATAATCCCTTGGGAAGAACACTTGCAGAACCAGCTTTCTCCCTGTAATGCCTGAAAAAAGATTTAAAAACGTATCTAGTTGGGGCGCACAGAGGGCTCAGTCAGTTAAGTGTCTGACTTTGACTCAGGTCATGATCTCACGGTTTGTGAGTTCAAGTTCCATGTTGGGCTCTGTGCTAACAGCTCAGAGCCTAGAGCCTGCTTCAGATTCTGTGTCTCCAACTCTCTCTGTCCCTCCCCAGTTCTCTCTCTCTCTCTTTCTTTCAAAGAGAAATAAACATTAAACATTAAAAAAAAACAAACCCACTTATCTGGTCTTAAGTTGGAGGGAAGAGTTAGAAGGAAAGCAAAAGAGAAGAGTTTGATGATGGTATCTGAGGAGGGTCCCTAGGCTCTAACATGTTCTATTCCCCCAAGACTTGCTATAAATGAAGAAACAGCAGAACCTCCAAACAAGAGTAAAGACCTGAGAGGAGAAAAGGCCTCTGCCCTGCATCCCAACTGGACTTAGTAGTTCCATTTTCACAGAACAATCTACCACAGCACAGCAGTGGCTGAGCAGAGATTGTTATAGATAGTGTTGAAACAGGGAAGACCTAAAACATTCCCATTGGGTTTGCCACTGATCAGAAAGGTGTAGGAGCAATAAAGTTCCCCTGTGCCCCAGAGGAGTGTGGGGTCATGTGTACACTGGGGAAGTTTCACTGGGGAAAAGGGAAAGCCAAATTAAAGGGACGTATAGTCCTGATGCAAGGACACCCCAATAGAAGCAGATAAGATGGCATGGCTAGATGTTCAGTTAGGAACTTGGTGTTTCAACAAATAGATACCAGTGTGGCAGGATAGCAGTACCCGAGCATAAGGGGAAGTTTTGTACATTCGGTGGCTATCAATGTAGAAAGGTGCCAATAACCAGGTGTCTGATTCTCTTCCCATTGATGCTGTGATGCTACATAAGGCCCCTGGATCTTAGATGCCGACTCTGAGTTTAAGGGTGGGATCAGGGAGAACAAAATCCTGGATTAACTCAAGTATAAGCCTGGAGTGAACAATTTTACCTAAAAGTAATCAAGATCTATTTTCCTGCCAGGTAGTAAAATGGGGCTTGAAATAGAGAATAGCTTGAGTTTCAGAAAAAAACAAATAACATAAGGACTGAAAATTCATACTTGCTAACTTATCAGAGAGTGGAAACAGCTAGGACGTATGTTCTGGATACCCTGTAAATTGAGTAACCAATTTATGGTTTAACCAAATATGCCCCACATTCTAAGATGACACTGATAATTCTGCTTAGTCAGTCTGAGGTTTTACCACTTTCTTTCTGAAAGAAGTTCCCTGTGTTCATAGCCTGCTAGAAGTGGCAGAACAAAATAACAAAGTAAGACATAATATGGTAACAGAGGAAGTAAGTGTCTGCTACTTACATGAAATTAATGAGTGACTATATAGGACCCACTGCAACTAATGAAAAAGGCAGATAGCGTGGCAGATAGAGCCCTGAATTCAGGTCAGTGGTCCTAGCTTTCAAATCCCAGCCCTCTCTTCTTACTCCGTAATCCTGGGCAAGAAGTTTAGCCCCCCAGAACCTCAGTCTCCTCATTAAAGGTCTCTCCAGATTAACATGAAATTAAAAGCAGGTATGGAAAGTACTCTTGTATAGCCAGGGTCATGGTAGATGCTTAGTGAGTATCTGCTAAAGAAAAAGCCCTTCCTCCAATTTCTTTATTTCCAAACTTGAACGGATTCTTCCCCCAAGTTTATAGTCCTGTTTACCTTGCATACTTCCATCTCTTGCTGAGGTCTTACCCTGAACTGATGGATGGCCCAGAACTAGAATGCTGCCCCACACTAATTTGACTGTTAATTTGCTCTTTAGATTCTGGGAGCCCTGCTCCCTAACCCTGAGAACCCAACACCACACAAACACCCTCACACACACACTGTCCCTCTTCACCCCTCCCTCACCAGCTGTGTTGAGGTGGTACCAGCATGTCAGGGATGAAACCTATCCTATGTGGCTGATGCTGCAGATGTCTCACCCCAGAGACGTCTTATAACCAAGAAGAAACAAACTAGCTAAAATAAACAGACAGGTTTGGCTTTATAATTAAGCCAGAGCAAAACTGTGCAGCAACATCCTATTGTTCAATTTTAAGTGGTGTTCCAGGACGGGGTGGTGAAGGGGACTCTGTGGAAGAAGTAGAAGACAATGAACTCCACCTTCTATAATAAAAGGAGAAGAACTTTGGAAAGGAAGCAGCACTTTTAAAAGGATGGCTTTTGCAAAAATCTTGTGGCTGGTGGAAAGGAAAGAGGAGGTGCAAAGGGAAAGAGCCAGAGATAGAGAGGGGCCCTAGGGGCTTTACTGGTGGGAGGCCTCAGTGCCTCCCTGACAGCTTGATGTATTTCAGTGCCAGAAACTGCTGACCATACCCTTTCTGTTTAAGTTAGCACATTTTGTTGGCTTCCCTGTAGGTATCGAGTGATTCTTTCCTAGCTCTTGTCTGTATTCACTTTACTCCCTTTAATACACTTCTATCCCAGTCCACATTCTTAATAATGAAGTCAAAACATCCTGTTGTCAGGGATTTCAGGGTGGGGTAAAAAAAAAAAAAAAAAAAAAAACAAAACCCAACTGACTACAAAGAAGCAATGAGGGCAGCTGGAATTGCACCAGGAGGGAGGGATAGATTCGAGCTGCACTCCATGAAACCTGGAAAACTCCATCACCTTTTCCAGATTCTCTCCAGCCTCTACATCCCCAAGAACCTCATTGTCCCTAAAGAAAGCTATTAGTGTGCACAGACTAATGAGACCTTTCAGTCACTGGAACGGAAGAGACACAACAGGGAGTCCGTTTCTGCACACTTGGCAATAGGCTGCTCGAAACACCTGGTCCTCCTCTCCGCCCCCCGGGCTCCAGTCAGGGCAATGCTGGCTCCTTCAACCTTGGCTGCCTGAGGGCTTCTGCTAGAAGAGACAGCCCTGAGGAGCCAGAAGACTCCTGTGATGGGTCCTAGCTGCCGTCTGGGACTCCTGCTCCCATCTAGGGGACACTGTGTCACAGTTTCATCCTTGACAATGGTGTTGGGGAAGGTCTTCTTGGAAGTGAAAAGGGGTTCTTCATGAAAACCAAGGCAAAGACACTAATAGGGATCCACCGTTTGCTTTGGAAATAAGGAATTATTCTCAGGTGATGGTGGTGGAGAAGGACACATGACTGTTAGGGCAATCCTCATTTAAACATGGATTTACCTTCAGAGACTAAACTCATCCAGTTGCTCACACTTCCTCTGATAGAAACCAATCCTGTGCACAGGGAAGAAGCTGTGTAGCAGCCCCTCATCTCTCTGTGGAACCTCATTCCCCAGTAAGCACCACAAGGCACCACTTGGCAATTTCCTCTTGTGGTAGCACTAGGCCATCTCCAATTCCACGGAACATGCACCATGATGAGTTCTAGTCAATACTTTGTAAGTCTCGGGAGCCACGGCAACCACACAGTGATGCTGTGATTCCAGAATGATGATCTCACAATTTTGGGCAGGGCAGAAGGACTTACAAAAAGAACACAGTTTTAGTCTCTACAGGAGCATGCTGCTCTATTACAGTTTTTACTATGGTTAATCCATGGGTATTCAGGGCTTGTTTATAGCTTCCGTGAGCTGGGAGAGTGAGAGTTTCTCCCTGAGGACGCATCCATCCTTGACTGACGATAGCTCCTGGACTGGCATAGATTCTCCAGGTAATTGTGTGCCTACAGCCAGCCTTCTGCAGCGAGGCCCAGCTCCTCTGTTCTCCTCTTTGTGTTAAATCACAGCACAGGCTTAAAAACAACCAAAAAAGGGGGCTTAGACTACACAGCACACACAGACATGCACATGCCATAGATGGCATATAGAAACTGGGGTCCTGCTGGGTTGCTTCAGCTGCACTCATGTCCCCTGAGAAGGGAGAGCTCCACCCTGAGCTTCACCAGTGAGGAGGAATTCAGACACCCAGCTCAGCAGCCTGCCCAGAACTCTGCTAACCGCTCCAGCGTGTCACCTGTTCAAGAACAACGCATTCCCCCTCCTCCTTTGGGTGCTTTGTTTACTGGTTTCTGGGAGGCCAGCTGACAGAGCAAACCCACCATCTCAGAGGAGGCAAACCTGTTAATTGTGTCCACTTAGAATGCCCAGTGTCTTTTTTCTCCACTCACATTGCCTTTCCTCTGAGGGGCTAGGAAAAGCCACACTCCACTGGCTGCTATCTGATGTCAACACCAGCTTCCTACTTCAGGTAAGATCTTGCATTCCAAGATGGGTTTAGTACTTTCCCTGGCACGGACAAAAAGGGGTCTAAATGTAGCCATTCAGAGTTCTATCACATTTCATTTGTTTCTGCATTCATTCATCCATTCATTGATCAAATGTAGTGGGGTCCCTATTTAGAAGTATAGCAAAGGTGGAAGAAGTAAGACCACAGATTCAGAAATTTTTGAAACTTTGCTTTTGCACTTACTTAAATTATATGCTGGAAGAAATGGGAAAAACATGTATCAGCCTGAAGCTGGGTACCTGCTTCACTTCAGCTCACTTCTGTTTTCCGAGTTCCCTATTTATACTGAACTTTTTCTCCTTTCCAGAGATTGTTTTGGAATTCACAGGGGAGAGAGGCCCTTGTGTTCATAGGTAAACAAACTTAAGTGTTGCACTTGAAGAGTGACTCAAGGGTATATTTTTATAGCCAGGGAAATAACAGTAAACAAAGATAAAATATGAATCTGAAAAGAGATTCAGATACACATTTGGAAAGAAAAGGAGACACTGAAGAAAGATGGGGATATGGCAGCGGTGGTAATATACTACAGACATTTGTATTCATTGAGTTTCTAACTTTTACAACACATGACATGGAGTTCTTCCAAATTCTGGAGCGTTGGGGTCCCCATTACAGCATGGGAGTCACCCCAGGGTGGGAGACACAGCTCTGGACCTGGCATCAGGCTCCAGCTGATTGCAATAATGATGCTGAGCAGAGAGAGAGAGAGCAAGACCCTGCCATCAAGGGGCTCTCAGCCCAGAAGGGCAAATGCTCAAAACAGAAGTACAAATGTCTTCCAGGGCAGTAGACCCTTGCTGTGCATCAGAATCACTGGAGACACTGTAAAAACAAAAACAAGAACAAAAACGAAAACGAAAACAAAAACGGTCATGCCTGAGAGGCGCCCATTCTCCTGAATCTGATTCCTTATTTGGTTATCACCTCTACTGCCAAGATTTGCTGAAGCTTCCACATGACACAACTCTCTCACGCGTGTGCCTGTATGTGCTTCCACACTAGGTTTTTATCACACTCCTCCCTATCTGGGTGTCCACCTGCACTCCAGGTCTGGCTGGACTCTGACCTTGACAAGTCACAGAAGTATCTATCATATGACGAGAAGACTTTTTTTTTCTTCCATAAAATGGTTGGATATTCAAAATTAAAGTTAATAGTTAAGTTTTTACATTAATGATTGGAATCATATGTGATATTTCCTTTTTAATTGTGATCCAGGCATCCCATTTATCACTCCAGAATTTAGAAGGAAATTTCCTGAGACAGACTCATTAGTCTAGGCAGTGACCGTGGCCTAAATCTTTTTCAGCAGTGGGACTGAAAGGTGAGCCCAGGAAAGGGAGAGCTGTCATGCTCTGACTTTCTTTCTTGGCCAATGAGTCACTTGCAGCTGCCTCATGACAAGTGGGCCAGAGAGTAGAGGGACACTGTGTCACCCACTTACCAATTTGCACATTTCAGAAAGACCTAGAAAAAGAAAAACAACAGACTATGATAAGCCCTAAAACCATATCACATCTTCTCTTTCCAGACAGTTTATTTTCAATTGCCAGTGTCATCAGCTGTGTCACCAGGCAGTGACCTATACTATTTCTCCTCAAAACCCCTCTAGTAGCAAATGTCCCATGGGGTCACCTTCTCAGTCAGCTAAGTCAGAATCACAGAATTCTGGAAATGTAAACCTGACAGAGATCTTCCTAATAAGAGGGGAACTGTTAATATTTCTTCAGTACCTACTATGGGCCAGCCACTTCATGTATTTTATTTCATTTAATCCTCACATTAACCCTGACATGTAGGTTTCATTGTTCTCAAACGTTAGATAAAAAAACAGGCCTGGGAAAGTAAAGTGATCTCTACAAGGTCACACATCTAATGACCCAGATCCGTGTAACCTATAAGCCCCCGTTTGTCAAAGTGGAGATTGTATACAAGACAGCATGGCTACAGTCAAAAGAATCTACATAAACACAATACACTCTCTGATGTGCCAGTTTTATTCAGTGATACATAATTTAAAAGCCTGTCTTCATTAAAGCAAACATGCATTTATGATGGAGGGGGAATACAAATTTGCACAAAATGTAAAGATAACACATGAAACTTTGGGGAAATTCTTACTTGTGGCAAGCTACTTCTGGTTTTGCCTCCCAGACCCCCAGGACTCTTACCATATGCCCCAGCCAGGAAGAAGATTCTCAAAGATTTAAAAGCAGAGCCATATGCCCAGACAGAACTTAGGAAAGGCACCCCCAAGTAGAAGATGGGGGAATGGCTTGTCATTAAGGAGCAAAGAGTAGTGACTCCATTTTGTGGGGAGATTCAATTTCAATGTCCATCACTAAAGGAATATAAATCAGATAAGGCCATTAGTTGTCAAGACCCTACCCACCTGACTGATGTTCTCAAGAGGCTTCCAAAGCTGTCCAGTAGGGAGGTAAGAATCCACACTGAATGAATGAGCCAGTGACGAGTCCTACCTTCCCCAAACTCCCCTAAAAGGCACATATACATATCACTTCTTGTCTCTGTCTCTCCCACACCCAGATTTTCCTGCCCCTGAATCCTAGGGATCTTTTTTCAAAAACACACAGAATCATCTTTGAGGTGGTTACCATCATCAAGGACCTGATTTTAAGCTAGGTAGGCCAGCCTATGCTCTGTTGAGGCTTGAATTCCTCCAGAGAAGTTAATCCATGAATTTTGAAAAGGATGAAAGGATGGACTCCAGCCAGGCCCTCAGCCCAGTAGAGCTGGGCACGACTGCCTGGCATCCTGACATTAGTTGAAGTTAATAGGCTTAACCAAGAAAACCACTGAATAGGCAAAAAAAAAAAAAAAAAAAGAGCATTGCCTGGCTGATCTAGAAAGGAGACCTGACCCAAAGGAAAAAGCAGTAGCACCACATCTACAAACCCATTGCTGGCCCGACCCATGCTCAGCTCCCCAACCACATCTGCCTCCCAACTCTACTGACCCACTGGTCTTTGCCATTCCCTTTGACTAGGAAGCTCTCTTTCTTATTCAGTGCCTGACTAATTCCTATTGATCCTTTAGGCCTCAGCTTCAATGCTTCTTCTTCCAGGAAGATCTCCCTGATTCACTTCAGCCTAGCAACTTCTTGTTTACTCCCATAACACCCCATATTTCCTCCATCCTAGTGGTTATCAGACTGCATTATAATTGTCTATGCACTTACCTGTGAATGCCACAAGGGTATGAATCCTCAAAGGCAATGCCCAGCTCATGGTTAAGTGCTCTATGAATGCTTTCTAAATGAATGAATGTTAAAGACACACTACAAATCCCCAAAGATGCCCATTGGGCCACAGGGATACACTTTTCTGGCAACTCAGCCACCTTGAAAGCCCACAGCAATAAGAGGGTGCTTTGGAAAGGTCTGAGAAAGGAGAGGAGCCCAACAATTGAGTACCTCCCATGTGTACTGAGGGCACAGAGATAAAACAGAAAAGGTCTCTGCACTGGATCCACTTACTATAATGCAGAAAACTATTAAGGACACAGCAGTAAGGACAGATTGCTTTGCTACAAAGCTGAAATGGAGACAAATGTGAAAACCAAACTGGGTGAGCAATGCCTTTGCTTACATACTAATCTTACTGCTCTAGAATGTCTCACAAGACAAATATTTTAGAAGGAAATATTAATGAGAACTCTGATATATGTAAAATGCTATTTATTCATAAAATAGTTGAGATTCTACAAAACTCATATATATCATTTTATTTCATTTTACTCATATATCAAATATTTTGGGGATGCTTCTTTATCCTACACTAACCTCTACTATTTGGCTACTTGGGAGGGTTCAAAGATAACTCCCCTTAAGGAGCATGGAGTCACATGGAGGAGATAACTAATAACTGTAAGTCAAGGCAGATAGAGACAAGAGCTGAGTAAGTCAGGATTATTTCTGTTGTAAGTGGCTCAATGTGGCTTAACTAACAAAGGAAATATACTTCTCACATAATGAAAATCTCTAGGGACATCTCTAGCCAGGGGCTGGAATGATGTATACCAGTCCCTTCTCGCAATGGCTTTTCCTTATGCTGGGTTGGCATCACTCTCAGTCTCCATCATGGTATATACTCACAATTTCTGGCTCAAATCCTTCCAAGGCCTGATTTGACCTGACAACACAGCTTCTCTTCTCCCACAGGTGTTAATGAAAATCATGGCCTGATTATCCTTGTCCTGAGTGATGATCATGTACCCTCTCATGAGCCAATAATTGAGCCATGGAATGGATAAACTAACCGATAACCCTAGGTCACGTGTCCCTCCTCCAAGAAGGTGTGAGGTCAGGCCCAACCCAAACCACATGGAATGAAAGGAGAATAAATCTTGAGTAGTCAAGTGTCATTAACGAGAGTCCGATCAAATGCTTGAGACTTAGACCTCACAAGAGCTTTGTGTTCTCACCTATTTTACAAATGAGAAATGCAAGGCTAGTAAGAACAAGAATAGGACTGGGATCTGGTCTTTTTACTTAGTTCTGTGTCCTCTCCATTTGTGTTTGTTAGAATTTGGGGTGAGACAATACTTCTCTGGGTGAGACATTACAAAACATTCACAACCGTCATAAGACATTTCACATCCAAGGCTCTAATACCAGTGACACCTGCCTCCCATCACTGTGACAACTAAAACTGCTCACACACATTTTCAAAGGGGGCAGCACCTTCCTCACTTGAGAAAAAACTGAATGTTACCCAAGGGAACCTTATTTATTATCAGGAGTTTCATCCTTCTCACAGTTCCTAAATGTAAGTTCTAACATTTGGCTTCAGGGATAGACTGAACTTTCATTGAATACCCCTTAAAAATCCTCTAGTCTAACCCTGTGGGCCCGGCTGTTCTGGTCTAGAGGAGAAGGGGTGAGTGAGGATGGCAGGAAAAAGATGGGCAAAGAATGTACTCCAGGAAGGCGAGTGGAA